GTGGACTGTAGGATTCAGTCAGAGAAACAGAATCCAATGGCTGAGAGTTGATCCTTGGATGGTATTGGTGGGAAGCAGCCTCCCATTAAAGGCTTATCTTCTCTGACCTTACTCTCAACTGTATCCCCCTCCTAGAGTTAGAGAAATAAATAAATAGGAAAAAAGAATAAAAAGCATTTCAGTAATTCTTTTAGAAGAATAAGTATTTTCCAGTTAATTTTATGTTTTTGAATGCTGTATTATTATACTATTTTCCCATGGTTTTTCTAGTTTATTTTTATTTTTAAATTTTTAATATAAAGATTATAATATTTTTTTGATAGTTAGGAATTTAAATGAGCAGAAATGGAATATTTTAAATATCTTATATAATATAATTACACTATTATTGATTTTTTAAAACTTTTATATATAACAAACCTGTTATTTTTCCCCATGAATGCGTGAACAAGATGGCAAGACAAACTTAACACAACGTTGTGCTTAAAAGCGGGACCAGCCCGCCATTAATGCTATCCCTCTATTCATCTATCCTTTCTTGTTGCCTCCTACCAATCAAACACTAAAGAGCTTAGCTCCGACCTGGTCAACTCACCATCTCCCTCTCCCTCTTTTCTCCACTAAAACAAGTTGTTGAGTTAAGAAAACAAGAGGTGGGCTGTTCTGTTCTCTATGTTCTGGTTTATGGGCTTGCGTTTAGTTTTTTATTTAGAAAGAAAAGTTGCTCTTTGATTGGTGCTTTTCTTTCTTTGATTTTTCTTTATTTTTTGCAAAAAAAGGGTACTTTTGTTGGAAAAAAGGAGTATTTTTTGTGTGTTTTGTTTTCACACCTAGATCTACTCCTTTTGCTGTCCTTTGGAAACATCGTTCCTTTCAATGTTTGTAAAGCTCAAGTCTTTGATTTGATTGATCTGTAGGAAGGCAGAGAAGTTTCAAAAGAGCAGCTAGGTTGGGTTCTTGATTTAATTTTGATGGGGATTTGCTTGAGTGCCCAAATTAAAGCTGAGAGCCCATGCAGCACAGGTATTCTCTCTAATTCTTGCTGTTTTTCTATTGAACCCCATGAGCATATATGTATCTTGCTTCAGTGGTTATAGCTGTTTCCTTTTTAAGTTTGATTTCCCTGAATATTTTTGTGCCCCCCCCCCCTTCTTTTACCTGATTAGGTTATTGTTGGTTTTCCATTCATTACCTGATCAGGTTCTGAATATAATTGATTATTTTCTGAAAGGTGAGTTGGTTTGAGCTAAAATGAAGTGTGGGTTTTGAATCTAAATGTGGTATGTTCGCTTCGCTTGGAAGTGGAATTGATGTTTTATTTTTTTGGATAACTAGGTTTTTACTATTTTTGGGTTGTTATAGTTTTGTTGAGAACTTTAATTCTGTGAAATTGGACAAGTTTTATGTTCCCGATTTGTCAATGGGGTCTGTTTGGGTTGCTGGCAAACATCATGAAAATAAATGGAGACAGAATCTTAAAGGCTTTTCAGGTTCACTTCACTATAGGCAAAATGATCAGCTCAATCAAGGCTTTATCTTACATAAGTAATGTCACTTGTTGTTTTACTAAAAGTAGCACTGGAAATTGTTTGATTATATGGTAGCGACAATCAATTTATGTTGAGTTTATATTTTTACTTGAGATACAGGGTTGAGTTCAAAGAATGTTAGCACAGATGGGACGGATCTGAGCAGTACGAGTAGCAAGGTCTCATCACTTTCTGTGCCACCCACTCCTCGGAGTGAGGGTGAGATCTTGCAATCCTCTAATCTGAAGAGCTTCAGTTTTTCTGATCTCAAGATGGCTACCAGGAATTTCCGTCCTGATAGTGTCCTAGGAGAAGGTGGTTTTGGTTCAGTTTTTAAGGGATGGATTGATGAGCAGTCATTTTCTGCTGCCAAGCCTGGAACTGGAATTGTTATTGCTGTGAAAAGGCTTAACCAAGCCGGTTTCCAAGGTCACAAGGAGTGGCTGGTGAGTTCATTTTCTCCTTCCTTTCACTTCCGTGTTAAGCAGAGATATTTTCTGGAGTCAGAAACAATTAAAATTGTGACTGTAGAGTTGGATATCAATAGAATCCATTATGCTGGTAACTCCAAATTTCAGCAAGTTATTTCCTATTACTGACTTTCTTTCCTATTTGGGGTACATAATTAAGCCAAGTTTATTCTAGTTTCGGGTTTAGAGGCTCACTTATCCCGTGCTTTTACTGTAGGCAGAAGTAAATTATCTGGGGCAGTTCTATCATCCTCACCTTGTGAAGCTGATTGGCTATTGCTTAGAGGATGAACACCGACTATTGGTATATGAATTTATGCCTCGAGGCAGTTTGGAAAATCATTTATTTAGAAGTGAGTTATTCTTGTTTTATCTCCTGAAATTTTTAAGCCAAAATGGATGTCATCAATAATTTGAAATTTACACCTTTAAACTGTTGCTGTCCCAGGAGGTTCTTATTTCCATCCACTTTCTTGGAACCTCCGAATGAAGGTCGCTCTTGGTGCTGCAAAGGGGCTTGCATTTCTTCATAGTGCTGAAACGAAAGTGATATATAGGGACTTCAAGACTTCTAACATTCTGCTTGATTCGGTATGGGTGATGGGTGAAGCAGATTTTCATACTTCATGTTATGGTTTTATTTGATGATTTCAGAAAATCTTGTTTCATATTCTATCAGTGCTTCTAAGAATTTCTTTTGCATTATTATTTCAGAAATACAATGCAAAACTTTCTGATTTTGGGCTGGCCAAAGATGGGCCGACTGGTGACAAGAGTCATGTATCTACCAGGGTTATGGGGACCTATGGTTATGCTGCTCCAGAATATCTAGCTACAGGTATTAATCAAATTCAGATGCATTTTCCCAGAGTTTAATTATAATTGTCCTGTCTAATACTTTTCTGTCAATTTAGGCCATTGTTTTTTACTCATTTCTGATGGCCACTCTTCTTTCCTAACCAGGGCATCTAACTGCCAAGAGTGATGTCTATAGCTTTGGAGTTGTTTTGCTAGAAATGTTATCTGGAAGGAGAGCAGTTGATAAAAATCGCCCATCTGGAGAGCACAATCTTGTCGAATGGGCTAAACCCTATCTAGCAAACAAACGCAAGATCTTTCGCATCCTAGATAATCGTCTTGAAGGTCAGTATTCAATGGATGTTGCCTATAAGGTCTCTACCCTTGCACTACGTTGCCTATCCGTAGACACCAAGTTTCGACCAACTATGGATGAGGTTGTGACAGCATTGGTGCAGCTCCAGGATTCCAAAGAAACTGGTACTGCCAATGGCCATGTAGGCAACAAGCACCGAATACGTAGACGAAGTGCCAATGATGCAACTGGTGGAGGGAGTACTGCTGCATATCCTCGGCCCTCTGCATCCCCGCTTTATGCATGAAATAGAATCATGGAACTTGACTACAGCTGTATCTTTTCATTTCTTATTACAGTGCTGGCAGTTTTGCAACTCACATGGTGACCTTGGCACCAGTTCACGTATATTCATCCAATGATTGTATAGTTTCTTGTTTTGGCTAATGTATTCAAAGTCCTGCTGACAAATTTCCAGGTCGGCCTGGAAGAGGACTGCTTTCGATGATGCTTGTCTTTTAGATTGCAGCACTTGGAAACGGCTTCGGAGTTGAGAATCAGAGAGAGGCAAGAGCTTTGGGACCATATATAGTTAGCTCCTGTTTCCTTATCCCAGCCTGGCTTGTTGTGCTTGTGTATTTAATGTTAGTATTCCTTTTTTTCCCTTTCCATATGGATCTGTCAACAATACCTTTAGATGTGTTGCAGTCAGTCGTTTGATTTTTTATTTTTATTTTAAAGAAAACAGAGAAGCTAAGATATGTTTAATGTTCGGTGGATCACTTCATCTAAGCTGTGACTATGTGCAAGTACAGAAGCTGTGAATGCACCGTTGTATTTCTCGTGACTTGTGCAATGCCTTCACAGAAAAGGGAAAGCGTTGCTATTTTTCCGGCTTTTTGCAGAATTCAGTGCGAGATTTTCCCTTGGTTCTGCGAAAAGAAAACTCAAATCGTATTATTTAAATCTGTAATATGGCACTCGGATCATATAATAACATTATTATCGAATTCGGTAGCCACAACCAAATCACATAGTTAATGCACTCATGCTGTGCAAGGTATGGCTAAAATTTGGTAAAAAAACTGAATTTTGGCAAGCATTATAGAATATACTTGGAGAAAGTGAAGAAAAAAAGAGAGAATGGAAAGTTGAAGGTAAAAATGTCAACCACACCTTAGACTTCACTAGGCAAGTTGGGGGGAAAAGCAAGGGGGCACACGTGAATTCTATTGCTATTTGGCTAAAGTCCATGAAGCTTTTGATTTTTGAGCTGTGCAACAGTTAGTCCAACACGGCAATATCAGAGAGTGCATCAGCAGCACTGAGCTTTAAGGTTGTGGAAAATCTGTTTTAATGTTGGTCACGGGACCCATGTTCTTGACACCCTAACAAAGCGCACCAACGGATGGCTAGATTGCGCCCGATATCATGCAAAATGCTGTGAGATCCATGTAGCTCTGCGTCCCCCTTCCAGGTTACTTGTGCTGCTACTGTGCAATTGCCCATTCCTGAAGCGGAAAACCTGATGTTTAAGTATTTATTTCTCTAGTAAACAGCAAGCTAATGATTGGCAGCTATATGTACTCATTGAGGAATCCATATTGCATGTCTTTCGTCAATGCCTACAATCAGACTAGACATGCTCACCAGATCAGGGAGTTGTCTAATGTAGTTGGGAGGATTGCCTACAATCAGACTAGACATGCTCACCAAGGGAGTTGTCTAACGTAGTTGGGAGGAGTGGGTTCAAGCTAATGTATTTGATCAAGTTATCGGGAAATAATATAAACGTGTGTTTATCTGGGGAGATAAAATGAAAATGTCATGCATGATGCGACAATTAAGAGACAAGCAACAATGATCTGCAATTTTGAAAAAGTTTTTTTTATACATGGTAGCGGACCAGCTTGGGGACTGGGGAGAAGCGGGCTTGATGGTGCGGAAGGAATGAAACCGGCCACTCAGCCAGATAGTAATTCTGCAAAGTGCAGTCACATTTAGAGCCTCTCTAGAAAATACGCAAGAGTAGCTCTGCCAGAGGATCCCAGATCAGTTCTCACACGCGAAGACAAGCAAAGCCAAGGAAATGGAAAATAGAAACCTCATAGTGGAGCAGATATCACTATCCATCTTTGGGAAAAACTACATCCTTCAGAGGAATGTGAATTTGTGCCTTGCAACATCACATGCATGTCACGAGCTTTGAAGGCACGACAAACCTATATTTACAGCCATCTTGCAAAAATAAAAAGATGATCATTGCCCTTCCTATTGTTTGGATTGCATGTGAAATATTCACATTGTTATTTATCCCCCATTCATTTTCCATTCTCCTAGGGAGCTAGGATGTGCATTTCTATTTACTGGTAGAAACTGAAATCTTATCCCGAAGTTAAGTTCTAACCAATCGTGGTGTCCAGTTTCTCCAATCTAATTTCCCACTGGTTCTATTTCTCAAGTTGACCATTTCTCTGATGTTGAAAACTTTTTTCCGGTAACTGTTTCCCGATTTGGTAGACTCGGCCCCCATCTCCCCAGTGGCCTCTTCCTTAACCTCTTCAATTTCAGAAACAGGTTCAGGGATCCCTTCATCTTGAGATGAAGTCTCACTGATTATGTTTCCCAATATCTCTACCGCCTCACTCATTTTAGGGCGCGACTTGGGCTGCTTTGCTAGACATCTGTTTGCCAAGGCTGCTAGTCTCTGAGCTGATTTGATGCAACACTGTCCTTCCAGTCGGGGGTCTACAATAAGGTGGAACTTCTTTGAATCAGATACAAATGGTTTTACCCATTCCAAGAGCTTTTGCTCACCCCGAGGTAGGTTTCTCTCAACTGCTCGCCTTCCTGTTATAAGCTCATACATAACCACCCCAAAGCTCCATACATCACTCTTAGCAGTAAGCCTGCCAGTCTGAACATACTCCGGGGCTGCATAACCCACTGTGCCCACAACCTTTAACAATGTAATTATAATGCATAATTAGAGAGTAACTAGTTCTGCTTAACGGTAAAATTATAGGGTTAGTTAAAAAAAAGAAGAGGCACGCTGCTTTTGCAGAGGTCAACTCAAATTCTATAAACTAGGGTATCAATGGCACTTGAGCAGGTATAAATCTGCTTGAAGATATAACCACCAACAACATTACAAAATTTCCACTTGTATGATATTAACTAGGAACAGGTTTGTCTCACTGGGACTTGTGCATATTTCTATTTACTAATGTATTTCTCCATGTTTGATCAAAACCTTTCAAACAAGAACAGGCATGAAAATAGAGTGAAAGACCGGGATGCTCTTGATATTATTCTCATATCATCAAGTTTCATCAACAAAGTCTACATAAAATCAATGTCTTTCCATCTGAAAATCTCATATTGATTTATCTTTCTTGTTTGAACTGATTCATCTTAAATACTCAACAAGGGTTTTTTTTTTAATACACACACACACACACACACAAAAAGAGAACAGGGAAGAGGAAGGAACTACTTACTGATGTTGAAACATGACCGAGTCCTTCAGGAGGTCCCTGTCTAGCTAGTCCGAAGTCCGAGAGCTTTGCATTGAAGTCCTCGTCTAGTAGAACATTAGACGCTTTAAAATCTCGGAATATTAGCTGTTCCAATGCATGGCAAACCATAAGCACACAAACAGCTGAGAAAACAATGCAATATATTACAAACCACAGTAGACACTTGACAGAACTCGAGGGAAAATCTCTAGAATTGTCAATTAGCAAGTATCACATCCAAACTTCATAAATAACGAAAATCTATAGAACGCATGAATTCCCATTATTGTAAATTTCTAAAAACACCAACAGATGAAAAAGAAAAGGAAAAAACTCAATTCACGGATAGACAGCAATTTGAGCATGGCAAACAGAGAAAAAAGAAAAAGAAAAAGGCTTTGAAAGATTTAAGATTCTATAACCAAGCAACACAACATTATATATATAGAGAAAAAAGAAAAAGAAAAAGAAAAAGGCTTTGAAAGGTTTAAGATTCTATAACCAAGCAACACAACATTATATATATATATAATACCTGAAAGTCCATTTCTTCATGAAGGTAAGCCAACCCTCGAGCTGCATCTTGGGCAATTTTTAATCTTGTCATCCACGGAAGAGTTATGGGTAATACCCTCGCTAATAAATGGTCTTCTAAGCTTTTATTATGCATAAGCTCATAAACCAAAAGCCTTTGAATCCCTCTTTCATCATCTTCAGCACAATACCCCACTAATTTAACAAGATTTGGATGCTTAACCACACCCAAGAAATTCACTTCATTAATCCATTCCCTATGCCCCTGTAATACTAGAAGAAAATTATCCAAAACACACAAATTTCACTAATCATTTAGCAAAAAGAAACCCCATTTTTATTTAACTATTAGAAGTTCTAAATTAAACACTGTCAATTACTCAATTATAACAAGGAAGGCATGCCTGGAAACCGTGACGATTCAACTGTTTTATAGCAACATCCATCTTGGAACCTGATTCATGATCAGCTGGAACTTTAACGACGCCTCTATAAACACAGCCAAAACCTCCCTCCCCAATAAGCAAACCTCTACTGAACCCCCTAGTAGCAGATTTGAGTTCGGAGAAACCGAAGACTCGCAAATCATTAGCTCTTCTCTGACTCAGTAACTCGAAGAGCCCAACCGAATCAGACAAGTCCCTAGAGGAGTAGCAGTAGCTGTCTGAGTTAAGCTCGGACCGCCTTGTATCAAGACTGCTGGACGCCACGCTCAAGGACCTGGCCCAGGATACCCTGGATACCTTCGAAACCGGGGCGTCTTCATCTTCCCTTCTTTCCCCGTTCGAGAAATGAAAACACTTCATTATTCCGAATCCAAAATAAAGAAGAAGAAGAAAAACACAAATTTTTAAGGAAATGAGGGAGATGGAAGGGGTCAAAAGGAGAGGGTGAGAGGAGGAATGACTAAAACAGTAATTTGGTAAGGCTTTTGAATGGAAGGAGAGATAGATGGGGACGGACCCATTTAAATTGGGAGAAAAAAGTGAGGAAGTGGATCACGAGAAAGAGCGCAGGACGAAGACAGAGAGAGATCAGTGGTTGCTGAGTCGTCGTTGTTCTGTCTTCTTCTTCTATTTCTGTATGGCCAACCATTTTTGAGGTTTGGTGTCCTCTCTTCTCTTTTATTAGTTGAGGCGTTTAACCGCTGTTTTATTTTTAAATTTTGAGGATCATGCTTTGTTTTTTATATTATATTATATTGTGTTATCAATAGGCTACAGTCCTTCATTGATTTTTTTTATAATTTATTTTATATGTAATTTGATTAATTTTATAAATTTTTAATGATTATCATATTACAATTTTTAATGACTATCATATTATAATAATAAAGCTCAAATTTAAAATTATAAAAGAAATAAAATTTTTAATTTTAAGTTATTAATATTAGACCACCTACTAAATTGTTATGTTTTGTTAATTTTGATATATTTAATAGAATGATGGTCATCTTTGATTCACTGTAATTTTGAAATGTCCAATTAAAGTTAATTTTTTTTATAAATTTTATAAATTGATTTAAATTACTCATTTTTAATTAAAAATAATTACAAGTATTTTCTATAGAAAATATCTTTTTTTCTGTTATAAATTTTGATCGAAAGTTCATATTTTTAACTTTTAATTTATAAATTATGATTTATACCACATTTATTTTTTTTTAAATAAACTAGTTTTTATTAAATATATTTCTAAATTTATTAAATTTATTTTTATAAAAACACTTTAAATTGTTTTAAAATTGTTATTCATATTTTACTTTAACCATGTTGTTTCTACAAAACACAAAACATGCATATCAAATCAATATTTTTTACTTTAAGATATAATTTTTTATTTACACCCTAACAATTTTAACTTATTTTTATCACAAGATATTTATAAAAATGATTTTTGAATTATGAATTAAAGTCAAAATTCATGTTAAATAGACGTTAAATCTTTGATATTTTGAGTTCGAAACAAGATGGGTCTCTCTCTCCAATTCCAACGTCAAAATTATGAGCTCAAGTGTGGAAAATGACTGGTTAAGATTTTAATTAAGTATGACTATTAATAAAATTTGATTGATGGGTGTTAACTTTAATACAAATCCGTGTCAAATTAGAGGGAAGAAAATTAATTCTATTCCAACATTCAAATGGCAAGCACCTAATTGCCGTTTTTTAGACTTTACAGGCTTTCTCATTAAATTTTTTTTAAAATTTTTTTTTTAATTAAACAAATTTAAAGACTGATTATTCCTGAGTTTAAAATATATTTGGAAAGATAGTTATGTTACTTTTTAAAATATTTTTTTTATATTTAAATATATTAAATTAATACTTTTTATTTTTTTAAAATTATTTTTGAAACCAACACATCAAAACAATTTAAAATATAAAAAAATTTAATTTTTAATAAAAAATAAATTTTTTTAAAAAACATAAATACAATCATGTTTCAAAACAATATGTTATACCATATAGCAGGTGGACTCTGCCATTAAATTTTAAAACTATAAATAAAAAGAGATTTTTTTTTTTAAATTTCATTATTTTCTATAGAAAATATCTTTTTTTCTATTATAAATTTTGATCAAAAGTTCATATTTTTATTAATTTATAAATTATGATTTATACCACATTTATTTTTTTTTAAATAAACTAGTTTTTATTAAATATATTTCTAAATTTATTAAATTTATTTTTATAAAAACACTTTAAATTGTTTTAAAATTGTTATTCATATTTTACTTTAACCATGTTGTTTCTACAAAACACAAAACATGCATATCAAATCAATATTTTTTACTTTAAGATATAATTTTTTATTTACACCCTAACAATTTTAACTTATTTTTATCACAAGATATTTATAAAAATGATTTTTGAATTATGAATTAAAGTCAAAATTCATGTTAAATAGACGTTAAATCTTTGATATTTTGAGTTCGAAACAAGATGGGTCTCTCTCTCCAATTCCAACGTCAAAATTATGAGCTCAAGTGTGGAAAATGACTGGTTAAGATTTTAATTAAGTATGACTATTAATAAAATTTGATTGATGGGTGTTAACTTTAATACAAATCCGTGTCAAATTAGAGGGAAGAAAATTAATTCTATTCCAACATTCAAATGGCAAGCACCTAATTACCGTTTTTTAGACTTTACAGGCTTTCTCATTAAAAAAATTTTAAAATTTATTTTTAATTAAAAAAATTTAGAGGCTGACTGTTCGTGAGTTTAAAATATGTTTGGAAAGATAGTTACGTTACTTTTTAAAATATTTTTTATATTTAAATATATTAAATTAATATTTTTATTTTTTAAAAATTATTTTTAAAATTAACACATCAAAACAATTTAAAATATAAAAACATTAATTTTTAATAAAAAATAATTTTTTTAAAAATACAAATACAATCATGTTTCCATACAATATGTTATACCATATACCAGGTGGACTCTGCCATTGAATTTTAAAATTATAAATAAAAAAAGGTTTTTTTTTTTAATTTCGTGTTGAGTTAGGTTTGATAATTTTAGATAAAAACCCTTGAAGCTGAGGGCAGGGCAGTTTTGGATTAATGGTGTAACCTTTTTTTGAACACCTGAACGGGTCAGCATATTAATTCTTGGCTTAAATGAGTAAAAAGTACTAATTTTATAACCTACCACTATTATTGGCTCCCAAAGGGTCCATCTTACGGTCCATCCATCACAACCGCCAAGCTTTAACGTTTCTTTCCTTAGAGTACTCAGCAGATCAATGGCAAATCCAGATTAATATTTTTTTCAATAAACGCTAAATTTAATTTTATTATTGTACAGCAATAATAATATTAAGTTCAAATTTTAGAAATCTTAGGGTCAGTATTCAGGAAAATTTTTAAATTTCTCTTACAATACTAGTCGATATAAAGGATGCATAGTTTAATCTTAATTGATGTCCAAATTGGAATGGGAATTTCTTTACTGTCCAATGTATAAGGTGTTCAAAAAATCGTTTCCAAACACTCTACTAGGTTGACTGTACAATGTTGTATGCTGATCTAATCATCCTGTGTTTTATATTGTTGTTTGTATACAAACTTACAAGAACATTAGTTGTGCCCTAGAAGCTACACAGGACCACGTTACGTGTCACTAATTATCTTTATCTAAGTTTTTTAACCTTTTCTTATCCTATATATATATATATATATTAGACAAGCATAGCCTTAGTCTGATGTCGTTGGCCCGATTGAGTATTGAAGTCATTACAACGATGTATTGACCTATCTTATGAAGAAAAGAAAAGCAATAAGAAGAAGAAGATCACCATTCTACCTCAATTGAATATCAAAAGAGAAAGACTTTATTTGCATGATGATCATGTAAACCTTAATATATAAAGAAGTCGATCCAAATGTATTCCAGACTTCCTTTGCATGATGACTATGAACAACTCAATGCATGAAAAAGTCAATTCCAATATAGCCTAGTCTTGCTTTATTGATTATATTAAATGGTTAGACAAAATACAATAAAATTTTAATGAATAATAAAAATTTCATAAGATCTTCAATGTCATTCAACTATCTAGAATCACTACTAAACTCAATAAACAACTATCATTTATCAAGAACTATTATTTATCATTTTTTTTGCTCGAAATCAATAATATCTTTCTATTCATGTGTAGAATACAAACTATCAAATTATATAATTTGACCTTAACAAGAGGTCTATGCCTATCAAGTGAGGAGTTTTATGCTTTCATATAGATGTTAATTAGTTTTTGTTAAAAACTTAACATTAGATGTATTTAAATTTAGTTCACTGATGAAAAGACGGAAATAAAAAATTAACTTACCCTCTCATAAGCCTTTTTAGTATATTGGATATGCAGGTGCGTAATTTATTTTAGGTCTAAAAAGCCAACTAAAACATTTTTAAAGATAACAATAACATTAGTTAAGGGTAGAATAGATGCTCTAGGACTTTTTTATACTATAATCACATGTCTAAATAATTAGAATAATTCCAAGAAATTTTTTAAGATCACCTTTTTATGATACAAACAAGAAACATGGCCCAGACAACCTGCCTTAGCCTAACTATCTATAAGTTTAAGTGCCACGCCCAAGTCTAGCACCATGGACCTATTTTGGGCATTAAATAGGCTCAACCATGTGATCTAAGCTCAATACTCCATGAATCATCCATAAAAGAACAAAATTAATTTTTAAAGGTGGAACAACTCTTTAGACTTTTTATAAAAAAAATAAAATTATAGACTATAAGTACCCCATGAATCATCCAGGTAAATAAATTAAATGCTCTTTAATATTGTGAGCAATACTTACATCAATAACTCAACAAAATAATTATATAACTATATGTGATGTGGATGCATTTAACGAGAGAGGAAATCATAATTAACAGTCGACAAGTCTTAGAATCATACTACACCTAGCCTTTTTGAAAAATCTTCTAGCTAGTATCACTATCTCGCCTTAATTTGTACCATCTATCTATATTGTACATGGCATCTTTAAAGGAGTTTAGGGTTTCCATATTTTCAATTTTCAATTTATGATTTCTTGTATTTTTTTTATTGAATAGATTTGTTGAATTTGGTAATAACTATAAAACAAGGGAATTTGGGGTTGTGATCTTTAATAGATTATGAATTTATGATAAATAATTTCTAGCATTTCCTTTTCATTGCTGGATTGATTATAAGCAAAGTTTTTTTTCATGTTTTTTTTATGCAAGTATAGAGGAAGAAGAAAAATTTTCCTTTTATTTTGATAATTTTTAAGATTTTATTATAAATTATAAATTATTTTTTCTAGTTATCTTATAATATAACAAATTGAATTAGTTTTGCTTAATGTATTTTTGACAAAAGTCTACTTTATCTAACTCATCATATCACAAGTCAAGTAGTAATTTTAAAATTGAATGGAAACTTGATACTATATTAAAAGGATTTTTTTAACGGAAAGATCATCTAAATTAAAATAAATATAAAGTGGCCAGGATAGGAAAATGTAAAAAGTATAGAGACCATATGGTTAGTCCCTATATTGGTCATAAAGTTTCTTCAAGATATTATAATTATAATTAACTTTCAGAGGTATAGTTCA